ACGTTTTCAACTGAACAGTTCAGTTAACAGGTATCGATTATGCCGCTTAAAGGCAAGCCTTGGGATAAAACAGGTGTAAAGGAACGGGTGTACCCCCAAGAGGCCCGTCGCGCGGCGAAGGAAGAGACGCAGACGCGGCAAAGGACGAGTCGCAGCGCATACTGTAGCGGTTAGGCGTCAGGTTAAATAGAGTGTACCATACTACGTCTCATATCGCACAGCACGCGCTGCGACTCGTCCTTTGCCGCATCTGCGTCTCTTCCTTCGCCGCGCGACGGGCCTCTTGGGGGACACCCAGCAGAACGCTTCGTAATGATAATTGAGCTGCGGAATGAGTTGAAGGAGAAGGAAAGCAAGAGAAATCTTGGGAACGCTAAATTAAGGCCTTAACCTTCAATAAGGTCGGATGTGGTACGATGGCGAGACAGGGCGGTCAAAGAAGACAAAACACGCGAGAGAGCACGCCGTTCGAGAGAGCACGCTGATCTCTACATCAATCGCGGTGGGTGGGAAGCGTTGCAACGGGGTCGATGGTTGCAGGCCCGTAAGGATTAGCGCCCTAATCGCGCAAAAGCTGGCAGAATCCATGTAGGCACGGACTCCACATTTTTTCTCGAGACATCCTTTCTACTAGTTAAACTGATACGGGGATTTGCCTTTGATGCATGACATGAGCATGATCTCCCTGGCAAAATACTGAAAGCGGGGTGCAGTGACGGCAAATGGAGCTGCTTGCATGCACAGACCTGGAGTAAAAGCCCTGATCAAATTTTGCTAAGGTCAACAAAGCCTTCTATCCCTTAATCGAACGATTTCAGGTATTTTTCGCTGCTGGTATGCTCACCACAGTATCAACTGCTCTCATACCCTTCGCAGCTCACAACAGTTTGTATGCCTTTTTATTGCTCCGGTTTTTGCAGGTGAGTTTTTATCAGATAGCCGAAGTTCAAAAACAAAAAAGGGATAATGTTGCACTCGGGACAAGCTATGCCCTATGGTGATAACTGTGAAATGAAAACTTGAACGGAATA